CCATTGTGCCACCAGGGAGGTTCCCTCCTTTTTCTTTCTAAAATGTAATTCACCATCGCTGGGAGTTTCCTTTGGGCATTGTGTGCCAGACAGCAGAGCTGCTTGGAAGGAGTCGGTCAGGGAGGGTGCAGACCTGGAGCCGACAAGTCCAAGCCACACCCCTGCCCCCACAGGATGAGCCCACCACTGGCATGGACCCCCAGGCCCGCCGCATGCTGTGGAACACCATCGTGAGCGTCATCAGAGAAGGGAGGGCTGTGGTCCTCACGTCCCACAGGCAGGAGCTCCCCAGGGAGGGGTGGCATGGCGGGGCCAGCAAGACCTCCCCAGCCCTCACCTCCTCTCTCACCTCACAGCATGGAAGAATGTGAGGCCCTGTGTACCCGGCTGGCCATCATGGTCAAGGGTGCCTTTCAGTGTCTGGGCACCACCCAGCACCTCAAGTACAAGTAAGGAGATGGTGGGGGTCCCTCCGCTACTTCCAGGGGGGAGTTCAGCCAGGCCTGGGCTCTCTACTAACACTTGGGTGGCCTGTTGCCATGTTACCCCATGGCACCGGCAGGTGATGGCCAGACCTTATTCTGCAGCCGCAGATGGAGAAAGCCGTTGTGTTGAAAGAAACTCCTCTCCAGTGGTTGACGTTCCTGAGTTTGCAAATGGGAGGGTGGGGGCTGACCAAAGTATATGCAGAGCCTGAGTGGGATGAGGAAGGGTCACCACAGCTGCCTCATTATCCCACCACCTCTAAGACCAGCAACATCTTTAATGAGTCCACGTCAACAGTGAAGTGATTACGTGGCCAAATGGCCGGAGGATCAGCTTGTTTTTCTGCCCTGTTATGTATATCAAGCTTTTGAATTTGAGAAATGACCATGTATTAAACAACCAAGCAGCAATGCTAACGACCGGAGTGGGATTATCCCATCCCCATAAGTTGTAAATGCTGCAAATGATGAGTTGTTGATAGCAGTTGTTGAACCAAAGCTGACAGTCAGTGAAAACATTATCATCAGAGTAGACCCACACTCTACTCAGGAAAGGGTGGGTTTATCGTCATCACTCACTTATTCAACACTCAGGAGAACCTAGAATACAGAAGCCACAGGGTCACTCGGTAAAAGGAACAGCCCGGGACACCCCGGATCTGGCTGGAGATGCTTCTTGATGTCCCTGTGGGATTGTGCTGTATAGTACACACCGTCCTTTATGAGCTCAGAGCAGATAAAAGACTCAGAAAGCTCTGGTGGATTAGCTGATAGGGGAATATTTGACCCATGATTTCTTGAGCACCACAGCTTGGACATGACACAGATATGGGTGTGGGGGGGGGGGCATGGCATCCTCTGTTCAACTGCTGGTATTCCCTGCTTCTCTTCCCTCTCACTCCCTCATATCCC